TGGGAAGCTTTGGAATCTGCCCAGTTCTTAAAGATCCCCTTTATGTTTTTTAAGATTTATGACACACATACAGGTTTGCACATGCAGAATTTTGTAAATTAAAAACAAAACCACTATCTATAAAAGTTCACACCTGCAGAGCCTGTATTGACAAAATCACAGTGTAGAAGCTTTTTGTCCTAGCAGCTACAGGACACCAGCCTGAGCTCAGCCCATGAGTTTCGCTCTGCACTACCCTGCTGTCAGTTTTGAAAGATGTGACCTTCCTTGATCACGTGGTACAGCACCCCTACTTTGACCTGCTTAACAAACCCTGTTAACAGGTGGAGGAACATGCCAAACTAGACAGACACTGCCATCTAGTGGTCAAAGAAGCTGACCTTTTGAGGTTTAACAAACTCAGGTTATGTACAGTATTAAAGTCATGTTGCTTACATAGTTGTAATTCTTACACATTTCCAACTATGTTAATTAACTCAAACTTAATCAACAACTTGTCACTGAATTTGGATAACCTCGTCATCTAATTTCATTCATTTAAATCTGGAATGTGCAACATTTATAAGAAAATAATGAATTCTTCAACAAGATAAGTCTACAGCTAGAGCCAAAAATGCTAACATGCTGATGGTGAGCAGGTGTAATGTCACACCTGACTGGCATCCTAGCATGCTAACACTTGCTAGCATTTGTGTACACAAAGCACAGCTGAGGTTGTTGAGCAAGTTGCTGGTTTTGCAGGAGAAACCATACATATTTGTTCCACATTTTATTCCAGTTCATCCAATATAGGTTATTTCACAGATAAGTGAAAATATTGGTCAACTGAATTCAACATCTCTGAAGTGCAACAAATGAATGTTCACCCACCAATCAAAATTGGCAATAATGACTATTTTTGATGTTGATTAACTTAGACAGGCAAGATGTTGAAATAGTGAAAAAAGTTAAAGTTTTCTTCTAATTGGCTGCAGATTAATTAGGTCAATATCTATCATTAGTGTGCTTGAATCAAACGACCACCATCATCCACATCCAGCTCAACGAATTACAACTAATTCACTGAGCAGCTCTGTAGCCTTGGGTGGCTTTGTTGTGGTTGTGCAGTCTATTAGCTAATTGGCAATATGGTGCAAGATTCTGCTGCTTATGAAGGTGGAATGAGAACCAGAATGTAAACTTTCATTAGAGTGTTTCAACTCTCCATCTTCAGAACACACATAGACTTCAAATGGGAACTCCCAAGTGCTTCCAGCTGGCAACACTTTGGGATAATGATGCTGGATTCCACACAAATGAAGGGTCTAAATATCACCAGAGAGGTACCCGAGACCCGCTCCTCAATGTGCAGATATGTATGTATACATGTATTAAAAAAAATACACAGACATAATTCCTAGCTGTCTTTTTCCACGTGGGTTAATCCTACACACAGTACACATCAAGTGGGAAAACTGATTTGCCACTGTCATCCTGGGCCGTCATAGCTGTCAAATTTAAGCAGCTAACACAAGTCATCAGTACACATGGAGGCCAGCGCACATTGTCCGAGTCATCAGGAGCACAGACTGGGTTATGGTATCCTCATTTAAAAACTCTCTGTGGTTGAGTCATCAGTGCAAACTGGGAACGGACCACCTTCAGTGGTGTGATGTCAAAATGATGGATGAGACAATAATGCTGGCAGAAGAGCGGCCGATGGCTCTCTTTCCTGACATGTTGATTTTACACACCGCAAGAAATGGGAGCACGTGATGCAGAAAGAGAGACCCAACACCCACACATGTGCATTGCACAAGAACATGCCGGTAATATACCCATTCATATCTCTCCCATTCGCACTCGGGCTCCGGGTCTTTGAAGTGGAGTGGCCTTGAATGACTGAATGTGTGAAAGAATGTATACAATAATGCCAACACGCTGTCTGGACTTAAAATGAGTCAGCACAGGGAAAGTAAACAGGTGGGGCTCCCCAAGCAGCTGTTGTTATAAATGGGGGGGGGTGCTGAGTGGGGCTCAGGCTGTTTATTTTTACATGAAACCTCAATGTTGTTTGAAGAGCTCTCTCTGTCTGTGTGTGTGTGTGTGTGTCAGCACATGGGTTTGTGAGGTATGGTTTTCTTCTTGTGGAATGAATTTTAGCCACTTTTCTCATGAGCTGAGCTGAATATGAAAAACAATGTCTGCAAATAAGGGTTATATTAAACATCGTACACACTAAAGAGATTTTTCATATAACATATAACAGTTCAACTGGTCTTGATAGATTATTGTATGGGATTCTTCATAAGTCTTACATTTGCTGGTGGTTTATTAGATACTGGGAGACATAAACTATATCTAAGGTTCACAGACATTCATCAACTGGTCAATATACTGACCTCTGATAAAACAGTTCTTTGCATTATATAAACCTGCTACAAGTCTAAATATCTGCGCTGAGAAGACACTATTAGTGGCTTTTAAAAGATGTGGGTGCGTCTCTTGTTATTGCGAGGACAAAAACGCAAAGACCTGTGCACGGACTCGGAGGGCAAAGCATGGGCTGAGATTTACGAGTGTATCGCTACAAGAGGGCGCCCTACTCCAACTGAAAAGCAGAAAGGGGGATTCCCCTTTGGACAAGTTAAGCATCTCTGCTGGCGCCCGACAGCAGGGGTTCCTAAAATGAAGCAAGGAAAAGTGCCGAGGCTGACATTTTCTCCAGGGTGTCAGCCGAGGGAAGTCCCGGGCTTTGACCAGAAACACCGCAGAGGCTTGGTTTGCAGACAAAATCAGCAAACTGATCCAAGTGCACCACCTCTAAAGGACCGAGGAGAGCGCCCCGCTTGAATCCCATCTGACAGCAAATGAGTGTGTTGTAAGTCTTGCTTTCTTTCCTTCTGTCTGCACTCTCCCACTTGTACTCGGAGAAATAGGTTTGTGCCAGGCTGGTGGAGCTCCCTCATTAGTTCACAGAAATCCTTCCAAATTGGCCCTCTCTGGGGAAGTGCGTGAACACGGACTGATCTGTCAGAGTACAGATCGACAGTACAGCAAAGTGAAGCAGAACCTTTCAGTGTATTGTCCTGTGATTCATACTACAGCGTTTTATTTCATTCCACGAAACTCAGTTGGCCCAAGAAAATATGTTATATCTATTTACTATTACTAATAAATCATAAAAGTATGCCTACAACGCCATCCCCACACTAAGAGGGACTTTATAAAGTTCATAGTAAAGAAGAACAAAAATAAAGACCAGAGAACAGAAAAAATCACTTCAGAGCAGAAGAATGAACTTTCATTTAAAAACTATGACTATGAAACGTTACTTTAGGACTGAGAGGAGAATTTCAAATGAAGATCTGGGCTTAGACAAAAGAATAAAGTAAATGGACAAGAAATGAGTAATAACAACAGACTAAGTGTTGTTGATGGCAGATAAATGTGTAGAGATTGGAGGCGTATTAAAAAATGGATCAAGTTCATGAGCAAAAAAAAAGAAGCTCTAATTCTTTGCTTTCTGTGTAAAAACTCTCACTCATCATTTATCTGGTTCGAGTTTGATTCAGCTGAACTGATTTTTACCTGCTGTATATCTGGTGTTTCCCCCTTTAGGTTTAAACATTTTCCTTTTTCCTGTCCCATCCCGTTCACAGTCAATATTATTGGCTGGTGACGTAGGCGTCGTGCACACGCACATGATTGGAGTTAATGGTTATTATTTTAAATCATCCGCGGGTCAGAACACATGTTTAGGTCTTTATTTGAGATTAATTATTGGAATAAAGGCACCAAAGCGCAGCTCGTTCCGGACTCGGGCCGGGCTGGTCCGCCGAGATGGTACAATAAACACAGGAAGAATGTTGATCAGCTTACAATGGAGCCAGGAGGTGCTCAGGATTTGATCGGCCACGGTGCTCGAATAATGCCGGATCGTTAGACAGGCTGTAGCTGCAGTAACGCACAAAGTAATAACTGCTGTCGCCTATATACTGACAGAAATGATTTTTAAAAGGTTTGTGGCCATCCTCGCCGTTTTTCTGGGCTGGTTTTACAAATGAAACATGTTATTCTGTACGAATTTACAAAATAAGTAGCTCTGAGGCAAATGTGATCTGCTGAGACTGTGAAAGTTGTAAAAGACAAATCATACATTCATTAACACCCTGAGAAAATGTCACCATATGTTCTTTAATTGCCTGTTGTAGACACCCAATATTAATATAACCCATTGACAACAACAGAACCAATCGTTTTGATTCTGACGTCCCTGTACACCGGTGACCTCTCCAGTGCGCTTTTACGCACACTCCTTCCCCGATAAGCTGTGCAAGATGGCAAACATTTATCATGACAAGCCACATTTAGCTGTTTTAATACACAGTAAGAGAAGTGGGGAAAAATCATACCACATCATCGCCACATTTTCTTTGCCCAAAGGAACCATAACGTAATAATGAGGTAACGCCATCACATATTTAATTTGATGCCACTTTTTGTTACATATTAAGAATCCATTTACATATTTTGGTCGTTTGTTGTAAGGCTTACGCTAATAAATCCAACACGTGACTATTATTAGGATGACTTAGTTATAACAATCTGCATCTGCCTTTTGCTTCTGATTGTCCCGTAGCCCCGTAGCCCCGCTAGGCCTGCTCTGTTTCAACAAATTAAACGGTGTCTTCTCATTACGACCTCCATTTGACTGCCTGTGAACAGAGCAAGCCACGGGGCACTTAGAGCAGGCAGCACAGTAACAATCAGTCCATCAAACCGCGGAGGTATTTGTTGTAAAAGTGACACCAGTTGTGTTGTTTGGCGAAGTGTTTGTTTTCGTTTGCGCCTTATATTTGGCTGCATGGTTAATTTATAGGCATCACCAAATTACCCCCCCTCCCTTTCTCTCTCTCTCTCTATTTCTTTCCCTCCCTCTCTCTTTCGCTCCCTCGCACAAATGGTCGGGTCTGGGCTTGATTTTAATGGGGAGTAGCCTATCCCGGGCTCGCTTTACAACCTATGGATGTACTGGACTGTTTCAGTTGCTTCGGGCTTCGGGAGTGAATGGGTGCAGCGCAGTGGTCCACCTCCTCACTATTGACCAGGTCGCACGCGTTTCTCTTGTCCTTTAATATGTTAACCAGGCGAATGTGAGCAGGACGAGACGGCTTTGCATTTGGATAGGACGGTTTCTGACAGAAGACCCAAACTGAGGCCATTGCTGTGGATCTCTCTCGGGACGTTTTTTCAAATTTAAAGAGCGACATTCACGACTTGATACTCGGGTAAGTTTCTAATTTGCGGGTCTGTGCCTGTTTTCCTGTTTTGTGAAGAGCAGATTTCAGTTTTACGCACCACTTATATTCTTAGTAAAAATAAGTGACTCGCTTGCTGCGACGGCCTGTGAATTACCTACAATTTGTTTAAAATGAAGTCAATGACTATCATTACCTTCTTATAGGTTGAGGCTGTGTGACACTAAGTAGGTATTTGGATCGCACAGTCATCGGGGAGCGCTGGATTAGAGCGACTGACACCACAGACAGGTGTCAGCCCCCTCGGTTTACAACTCGCTTGTTCAAAAATCCCGAGGAAAACAGTCCGCGCCTAATATTTAATACAAGGTACAAGAGGCGGGCTACGCGAAGCCAGTGATCTTTAACAGCGTCTTGGATGCACAGCCAAGTGCGGCTGCCAAAGCAAGCAGAGTGCTTCTCGGTTCCCATCTTCCTGGGCACTGCCGTGGCCAAGTCTCCCAAATGCGTTTGCCACTTTTAATACTTTTCCTTTTTGCTTTGGCGCCTCCACATGCACTGAAAAACATTTGTGTGAAAAAAAAATCCGGATGGCATATTTTTGCCTGCTGTTATGTGAGCCACAGTAACTTTGAAACAGATGACTGATCTCAATGAGCTCTGTGAAACGAATCGGGCATAAGAAAAGTATAAGAACAATGACAAGTAGTGTCCTCTTTGTGGTTCATGAGGATTAACGTGGTGATGATTGGACACTGAAGTTCCTATTGGGAAGTGTGTGACGGGAAACCGCAGCTTTAATAAGGAGGAGCTCCAGTCTCTCAGCACATCTACTCTCCTCTCTCAAGCAGCAACAAGCCTGGAAGTAAAAGCGAGTCCCGTACAGATTGCTTATCTTAACTGCTTGGGCAGACTTGAAGTATGCCCCTATTGCACACAGAAACAGTGTCAGCCACTTGACCTACTTCTCACTCTCACCCCAAATGACTGGAATCAGTCCATGAAGAAGGCCTCTGAATCCTCCCTATGCACTGAGGTCAGAGAGAAAGCGAAACATCAAGTTTAGCCAGGGGGAAATGTTTGAGTTGTCTGCTGTTCATCTGGAGCAGGGCCATCCCTTTCCTGTTTTTCCAAATTAATCATCATTATTTAATTGCATCTGACTCTGCTTCCATCAGTAGCAGAGTGAGGGAGGTAAAACCAGGAGCAGCTGAGGGCTCATGATGTGGAAGCTAATCCAAAGAGAGTGTGTGTATACACACCTGTATATGCTTTTTTATGAACCCCAGAGAAAAGCAGGTGGATGGAGATGGAGAAAGCTGTAGTAACACAAGCAGATCATTTTCTTCTGTGGGATTCCTCAGGACTCTTGGCTCCATCTACCTGAGTGAGTAAAGTCAACATATCCATACATTGGACTTCTATGGCTTTGACAGTTTGAAGGAGGTAAAGTAATGCTATCTATCTCTCTTTCTGTCAGTGCCTTACTTTGTTTTTACTAGGTGTAACTATCCATCCCATCCTTGAGTCCAGCTTTTGTCATTTTGAATAAATGACACAATTTGATTCATAAATTAGCTCCACTCAACCATGAGCCTGCTGAAGCTGTCGGCGAATTCAAAGATAAGACTGATCCCCTTTCATATTACAGCTCTTAGTCGAAAGCTACCAAATCAGGCTCTGGCACCTGACCACACAAAGCTTTCTTTGACTGGCAGATTAATATTGTAACTATACTCCACGTGGAATTTCACATGTAGGAATTTTATGTTCTTTCCTTCCTGGATCAGCTCCACCCTCAACATGAATTTATATTTTGACCAGGAGATGGATGCGGTGTGACGAAGCACCACATTACACACTCACATACTTACTCATTCATCATCTCCCCTTTAGAGGAACGGAGTTGAAATGCTTTCTTACCACTGTGTTTTCTCAGTGAGTGACAAATTATGTGTGTGTGTGTGTGTGTGCGTGCTTACATCTCCTGTTAAAATACCTGTCATTCGTTGGCGTGACACCCAAGGCGCCTCTCACCGTGGGAGGAAGATCCGGGGGCAAAGAGTCACATGCTTCTTCCTGCCTCTCCCTACACCCTGCCAGGTCTGCATGTGTCAGCTATACATTTCCTCCAGATATAGAGGGATATGTGTGTGTGAGGTCCACATATGTGTATCTGTACCCACTTAGTACCTATTAATATGCTTATCTGATTGGACACACACAGAAGATGCTGCATGTGTGTGTGTGTTGATGGCAAACTCAGAGTTCTTTGGTGTGATGGGGCTGACATGATTTTCGCAAAGGAGCTAATTTATTTAATTTATGTCTAAAAACACTGACAACAGACTGGATGCATGTGTGCTTGCTGCTAACACAGTTCTGTGACAGTTGGCATGTGAACACAGAGCACAAAGCAACACACTACCTTAAAGTTTGACCAGTTCCTTTCTACCATAGGAATGGGTTAAAGGTGAGTGTCCACTAAAGAAAAAGACAGCATCAATCATTTTAAGGGGTGTTTTGTGCCTAAACCTAACCAAACCTTAACCCTAAAGTCAGATTTATTTTTTTTACTGTAAATTGTAACAGACAAATGGTGTCAGCCTGTAGATAGGGATGTCAGAGCAGAAAACACATCCATGTGTCATCACTCTAGAGGGCATGGACATGTTTTAACATAAGTGAAAACAAAAGACAGACATTCAGGCTCTTCTCTGTTTTAACTGGGAGACCACTGACTTCTGACCTTCAGGTAAAGGTCACTCGGTGCATGCTACCAATGATGTCGAGGGAGAATGAGTGGAGGTGGAGATAGGGATTTATGACATCCTATATAGTGCGTCTTCATGTGTAAGTGGAGGCACATACTGTGAATACTACTAGAGACCATGTGTTGGTCCGTCAACAGTGTGTTTCAGAGTAATGTACTGTACGCGAATCTTCCAAGCACTTAATAAAATGATTTGCGGTTTCTTCCCCCTGCGAGTTCAAAGCAGGTCCTTGGTTTAGAGGTTGCTCTTGTGCAATGGAAAAAAAACTGTTTTCCTGTTAGGTTGTTTTTTTTTTGGGAAAACCACAGCTTTGCCTACCACAACCAGCCTTCAGCGAGCTTTGAAGGAGTGCTCACCTCTCCTCTCTTTAAATCCTTCCATCCCTGTGAACAAGCTACTTCCTCTCATATCCAGGAATACCTCACCTGGCTCTCCCCCAACCACACTGCTGCAAAGCTGCGGTCATGGTTATGCTCAGGTCCATGGGAAATGTTCAGTGAAGGAGCCCTCAGTGCACTCACATTACTGAAAAGTGTACACCTTGGGAACTTCTCAGCATATCTTTATTATCTCTGTTCCCTCAATGCATGACCTTCATCCAGTGTCACACATTGAGAAGGAATCTGAGGCTTTGCTTTGCATGACAGGGCTCTGGGTGTCATCCCTTTCTCATCTTGAAAGCACATGTAGGGGAAATATTTCTTGCGTTTGAAAGCGTATCACAGCTTGATATAGGAGGTCGTAAATTTGTTGAACTCTCCTCCCTTCACTCCCATGTCCATTGCTCTGTCCAAGGCAAAGTGTACAGCTTTGTCCTCCCTCACTTTAAACAGCTATCATTTTAATTTGTGTTATTCAGGACTGAAGCCTTGTGGCACCCCCTTAAACAAAGGTCCCACATGTTGTGCCACTCTAGCACAACATGGCTTTCAGTTATTTTCACTGACACCTCAGTGTTTTTTATTAATCAAATCAAATATTGGGCGATCATCGTCTCCTGCTTTGTGTTTTAGAAAGACACAGTTGCAAATCAGTGTTTCAGTCGAGTTACGAGTCCTACTACTACAACACTGTTTGTTGTTATTAATTAGGCTCATACTAGTAATACACACTTTGCATGCTGTCCCCGTTTCTCATCGCTTACTATAACAGAAAACAAAAAGTTACTATAAACTGTTTCTTTTTGAATAAAACCTGTATGAAAATGGAACAAAGAACCCTTCTCTCTCTACAAATTAGTTTTTTCCCTGACTGGTTTCTCACAAATTAACCCTGTTTAACCCCAAGTCTAGTGAGTCACTGTTGCCCAGAACTTTCTGCCTGCTCATGTCCTTTCCCCTCCCCACACATCCCATTTTCTCACCAAAACACTGACCTCACAGAACATTTCATTAACAGAAAAACACACCGCAACTTGTCCTATCAGCATTTCCCCCCTGCTTTTTTACTAAAGTGTGTATGTACATACATGCAGAGAGCGGTGGCTGTCTGTGAATCTGTGAGAACCTACCTGACCTCATGTTCCACCTCGCGCTGTCTCTCAGCCCTCCTGTTCGGTTCTGGATCAGGCTCTGTTGATTTAAAGAACAACCATCAGACTCAGAGCCTGCTGTGCGAGCTGGGCCGCAGAAGCTGCTGCATTCCTCTGCTGGGCATTCAGTTTCCCCCTGCAGTTGCTCTCACTGTCAGATGCAGAGAAGGAAGGATAGATGATTTCATTTATATGTTTTATGATACCCTTTGAATGCTACGGCTTTGTCTTTATCCTCCCAGGCACATCTGAACCAATGATTAGTTTGCTGGTGTTGTAGCAGTTACTTCAGGTGCAGCAGTTTGCTCTTATAATAACAAGGTAATAGTGACGAATTGTAATGACACTCTTCAGAGACATTTTCAGGTTAAATGTTCCAGAGAGACGTGCACAGAGCCTCTGAACAAACATATGCAAGCCACTAATGAAACCCTCAGCTGTGAGAGTTGACCCCCCGCTGCCCTCGGCCCTTGCTGTTCCTCTTCTCCTCCTCCTCAGTCCCTAATGAATGCCAGTGAGGAACCTTGTGCTTCACCCACCACCCACCCACTCATGCACGCTTCTACAAAGAGCAGGATCACTAATATCTGACCCCTGTTACACTGAGGCCTGTCAATCATGTTCAAATAGACATTTGGTGAGTTGTTATTCATGTGTCCAACAAAAACGCCTCATTCCATTTTCTCCCATATAAAGCTTTTACAACTCTGTTTTATGTCAATGTGAGGTGCTCACAGACTATGTGTTTGGGACAGCGTGGCAGATAAAATGCAATATGAAAACAAAAACTAGTCAAGGATAGCTAGTTTCACCACTTTCTCATAAAACCAACAATTCATTTATTGATCCAAATCTAACATATATGCAACCATAATTCTTGAATAGGATGATTAAGAAATAAAAATGTGAAAACCTCTCATTGTTCTTTTATCATGCAGTGCATAATGATAATGAGATTGGAGATAGACCAGTGGTTAGCCTATTAAAAAGTCCATCATGGTTTTGGGCAACCACTAATAACCCCACCAGGGATTACTGTACAGCAGGCGGGAGGGACAGCAGGGCACCAATTTGGGCCTTAGCTTGCTGTCGTCCCAGAGAGGCACTCCCAGTGATCGGGGCCAAGAACCCCATCTCTCTAGAGCAGTGGGAAAGGCTCCCACTTAGTGGCTCAGCTGTCCCTCACCTATTCTCACATCCCCCAACACCCTCCTCTACACCCAAGCCAAATAAAGCCTCTCAACGACTTCTGTTTTCCTAATCTGTGAACTCTGACAGAGGCACCCAAGCTTGAAAGAGAGACAACTCAACATGGGATGATCTCCCGGTGACAGGGAGAAGCTGAAAAAACGTTCTCCGGAATGTCTCTGCTGAAACCAGCAGACCACCCTGTCATCCTCCTGCTCCTGCCTCCCCCCCTCTCTCTCTCTCTCTCTGCCTGTCTTCCTGCTTCTCCCTCCACTGCTCAACCACCTCTCTTTAATCTAATTCTTTTTGCCCTTCACCATCTACCTTCTCTAATTGGGCTGTCACTAGTTGATTAAAACCACTGAATCAGTTCCACTTGCCAAACAGCCTGAGTAGTCTTTGTGGCGAAGCTACTTATGCAGAGGGCAGCGACTCTAAAAGCCCCATATTTTTTCATCTATTCACATAATGTGCCCATAATATTAAAAGACTAAATATTTAATTCTGCAGTAGTTTAACCACTGGGGATTATAGCACGTTGGCACAAGTACATTTTTCTTGCCAATAATCCACAGAGGACTGTTGCAGTGATGAATGAGCTATGCACTTTGTCTCTGCACTCAAGCGGCTATTCAGTTGTAAATGGCCTAGCTGACACAGGAACAGTGTGGCGTGTAACATGCCAGATAGCAGTAGGTTTGTGTGCTTTAAAGGCACAATCTGTGTCCTCAGTGTAAACAGAAGGGTAGGAAATAATCAATAACCAAGACTGAGATTGACTGGTGCTTAATTAATCAACTTTTAATATGTTGATTAATGCCAGGCTTATTACAGGAATAGTTTGGCATTTGGGAAATAAGTGCTTTCATCGTGATGTGATGTGAACGTTGATAGAGCTCATGTCGGTGTTTAACATAAAGACTAGCAAGAGAGGGAAATGGCTAGCCTGACTGTCCAACAAGTGGCCGCCCAGCAGCGATAATCCATCATTTTTACACTAGGTTTTGGTGCAGATTAAACAATTATGGATCTTATGTTAAGCTAAGCTTCATATTTACTGTAAAAACATGAGAATGACATTGATCTTGTCATCTAACACTTGGCAACAGCGTATTTCCCAAAAATAATAATAACAACAACAATAATAACAATTTTTAAATGAAGTAAAAGCTATTGCTTTAAAATACACCAGCATCACAACAGCACCATTTGTTTCCTTTAAAGTTTTGACCTCTCCTTGGTGGTTTCTTAAAAACGCTGTAACTAACCCGTCCATTTCTGTGTGGTATCTATTGTGTTCTTCAGAAAGACAGAGACATGAGTCTGCAGCTGTTGCTACTTCAACCACATCTAATGGAAGACAATGTCTGCCCCCACTGAGGGAAACTTGTGGCTTGTTAAACACACTGTCGATGCTGAAAGCAGAGGATTTTCTTGCTGAAACAGATTCTTAGACTTTCAGAGGTCAGCCAGCTACACCACTGTGCTGACATCTTGGAAGAGCTTACAGATTCAAACAGATTTTGTGGAAATGACTCATATTTTACAGGTTTTATAGTGACATAAAATAAGTCTTTATGTTTTAATAAAGACCACGTTTTTGCCGGAGTATAGTTTTGTTTATAGTGCTGTCTGAGGATATTGTTAACACTGCAAGTATAGCAACTATTTAGGAGGGTGGAATTAAACAGCCTTGTCCCTGTTCTCTATCTGTTTAACCTACACGCTCGTGTGCCAGACACAGCTGACAGCACCAGACCTCGGAAGAATCTTCCAGCAGGCCCAGCAGCACACGGACCGCACCATATTTAGTCATCCAAAGTCCAGACACAGACCAATGCAGGCCTCCACCCTAATATGTCTCCCCTTTGTTTCTCCCTCCATCTCTCCCTCTCTTATTTTATGTTCTTCCCTTGACTCCCTGCCTGCATCTTTGTCCCTGTCCCTCTCTCTCCTCCTGCTTCCATTCATCTCTGTCCTAACTCAGCCTTCCTCCAGTCATTTCTGCTTTATCAATGCCATGCTCCTAACTGATTCTCTCCTTCTCATGCAGCCTCCTTTTCCTACTTACTTACCAAAGCTCTTCTTCCCTTATGCCTGTTTGTCTTCTTTTCTAGTCTCTTGTTTTTTGTTCTTCCCTCACCTGTCATAATTCCTACCCCTTCCTGCTCCTTTCTAGTACCCCTGCACCCCCAGTCTGGATGCTAATGAGTTGCTAATTCTATCAGCCTTCTCACCATGCCCTCCCCAGTGGGTGTCGGGCCTGCCAGCTTTACCACGGCCAAACCTTTTAATGGAGTGCCTTGGCTGATCAGCTCCCACCTGCACGCTCGCTTTAACCACCTTGTCCTCAGACGCATCTTTGATCATTGTTCTTATCTGTCCTGACAAAGCCGACTCTTAGTCCAGTCATTTAAGAGCGGACTCATTCCCTGCAGTCCATTTTTATATGTTGAATAGTGTAATAACGGGATTGTTTTTTTTTTGGTAGAATGTTTTCATGCTCAGGTCACTAAACATCTTTGAATGGCTACTTCAGAGCACGGCAGGACAGGAAATATATACTTATATCATTATTCAAAGTACAGTCCAAAATGAAGCAGAAAAGAAGTGGGAAAGAATTTAAACTATGTGGTTACCCTCTGTTTTATGATTGATATAACAAGCAGTTGTACGTCCACTTTGTGACATTTTCTTCCTCACGCTCTTTCACATGTGTGGAATTCCCTCACACTCTTTTCCTTTAACACCCAATCTGCACTTGAGGAGAGGCCAAATGGCTGGGTTTAAGCACTTGAACACAGAAGACTGGTCCTATTTACCAGGCCACTGGGCTCTTTTGGAGGGTTTCTAGCTTTGGACCCCTCACACAAGAAAAGAACGAAACTTTTGTTTTTCCGACTCCCCTTAAATCCGTCTGCCTGCCTCCCCTGCTCAACTGAATTGGATACAGAGACGGCCTTTTGTTCTACCAAGATGAAGAGGGATGCTGTAGTAGAAGAGTGAGGGTGGGGGAAGGAGGTGGGTGTGAGTCATTGTAATTTAATAAATACCTTGCAAAGAAGGTTGGGGTGCCTTCTCAGCCCCTCAGCTGTCTGTTTTGAAATGGGGCTCTTCTAGATTTGACACCCATGTACGTAAAAGGGGGATTAGGAAAGGAAAAGCCTCAGGCCATGTATATCTCTTTCTTTTGCTTTGCCCCAAAGCTTTCTCTCCATCCACTCCTCAATCTTTGTCACTTTGGGACAGAGAGGCCCCTCATCTAACTGTGAATGATGTCATCCAGGTACCTCTTGACTAAGATTTAGAAAGGCTTTCATAGCCTCCTTCTAATATAGAGTATTATTATTACTATGTGACAAATGTGTTACAGTGGTTGATTTCCTGTCAAATTCCTTTAAAAATTAACAGCAGCTATGTCCTCCTAATTAAAATAGTTTCCCCTTTTCAGTATCAACTCTTAAAGTAAAGGTTTAACCAGGGTCACACACAGCCCACTGCTTCACAGCATCACTAGGGATCATAGGGTGACTTCTGCTCAAGCATGACCAGAAGGTTTGGCCAGTTCTGACTTGAAAGAAAGTACTGAATGTGTGGCCGGCATTGAAATTCAGGGTGCAGTCTTTTGCAGCCACTAATGTCTCTTTTTAAATGGTCACATCCTTTCTTGTGGGCCTCCCGTCTAACTGTCTTATCCTTTGACAGTCTTTTATTCAATGAAAACATTCACTTAAGTGTACAAAAGATCCCATTTAATTTCCTGTATATCATAAGGGCAAATATAACTTGTTTTCTAAGGTGCACAGATGTATTTTGATATAGTAGAAATTCAGTCAGTTACTTTCTATTTTATATCCTATTATGGTAAAATATTTGTATAACACTGAGCTTTCTGTTTGTTTCCTTCTCTTACAGGAAAGGCTCTGCTCAGCCTGATGTGAAGGGTCACTGAGCTCAGACACTCGCCGTCCATTGACTCTCAATTATATGCACATAGTGGAAAGACACAGTCATATCCACATAACAACACATACATTTACACGTACACACACACACACAAAGACTCATCTGCACATAATCGCACACAGGCTCTCAGAGCAAGATGAGGGAACCCTGGAGGTGTCTGTTGAGCCTGTGCCTCCTGGCTTGCTCGATCTCCACCTACAGTGCCACCAATCCCTTTGCAAGGCAGCAGATCCCTCTAGACCCTTGCTATGATGACACAGGTGCAGCACGCCACTGTATCCCTGACTTTATCAATGCTGCCTTTGGCAAAGAGGTAACAGTGTCCAGCGTCTGTGGTCGGCCTCCATCCCGTTCCTGTAGTGTGGTGGAGCGGGGTGATGATCGGCCTTCTGTACGCACATGCCAAATATGTGATGCAGCTGATCTTCGCCGTGCCCACCCTGCTTCCTACCTCACTGACCACAACTCAGCCCACAATCTCACCTGCTGGCAGTCGGAGAATCTGAACACCTCACCATACAATGTGACTCTTACCCTTTCACTGGGTAAAAGGTTTGAGATCACCTATATCAGCCTGCAGTTCTGTTCACCACGACCTGAGTCCCTGGCCATATACAAGAGCATGGACTATGGCAAAACCTGGATGCCCTACCAGTTCTACTCCTCACAGTGCCGACGTATGTACAATCGGCCCAACAAAGCAACTATTACCAAGCAGAATGAGCAGGAGGCTCTATGCACAGATGGCTACACTGACCTGCTTGCTTTCAGCACCCTCGATGGGCGGCCTTCTGGCAAAGACTTCGACAATAGTCCGGTCCTTCAGGACTGGGTGACTGTCACAGATATCCGTGTGGTCTTCAGCCGACCCCAGGTACCTCGTGAGCTGGGCCTGGGAGCTGGAAGCAACAGCGGAGGGAGAGACGATGACCCCATGGCAGTGACATCAACGCTGCCAACTTATTTCTATGCAGTAGGAGACTTCCAGGTGGGTGGGAGGTGCAAATGCAATGGACATGCCTCACGCTGTCTGAAAGATAAGGAAGGCAAACTAGTGTGTGACTGCAAACACAACACAGAAGGACCTGAATGTGACCGCTGCAAGCCATTTCACTATGACCGACCGTGGCAGAGAGCCAACGCCCGCGAGGCCAATGAGTGTCTGCGTAAGTCTTTCCCTCTATCTGTCATTCTTTATTGCATGTCATGCTTCAGTTGGTCTGCTGTGGAACACAGTGGATATCTGTCTCTCTTTAATTTAGCACAACAGATTTTCTGAAAGGAGACCTAACACAGTGGCTATTTAACTTTCATGTCTTACTGTACCTTGATTGTAACAAATCATAGTACTAAGAATGAAGAGTCTTATAAATCCAACCATTGTAGAAGTGGCCTATAACTGTCTTGACAGCAACTCAATGGCCATTATAAAAGAACCATTTCACAGACTGCTGTGTTACAGAGTCTCTCTTCAGCTCTATTCCTTGCTTTGCTCCTTTCCCCTTCCTGTGTATCAGGCAGGTATTGCTTCCCCAAGACAATTCCCTCATACACTGTATCTGATACAAATATCCCATTCTCTCAGCTCAAGGAGAGTATGAGAAATAGGAAATTTTGAAAATACTTGCTTATGTCTCTGTTGGATAGAGTCATGACCTTTTCACCACCCATTTCAGGGTGTGAGGACAGCTGTGCAAAGTCAGGCTAACCAACTGAATTTACACACAAGGAAAGAGAGTGGAAGGCAGAAAATGAGAGCCTTAACTATCGTGACCTGTGTTTGACTTTCATAAGGGTAATTAATAGTGCTGCCAGAACATACTGGATGGGTTTGTGTTTGTACAGGTGAGACATTCTGGTAGCGCATAGTGGTTGAGCTGGCAAATTTGGCAGCATCTCTCCAAACACAAGCCCATCCTTTGCTTTCATTTCCCATCAGCTTCTTCTATTTAGAGTTGCTGTACAGGGATTACTCTGAACAAAATCATATTTTCTGACCTTTCTCAAGCATGTCTAAACAGGGGATAACAACACCTCAAGTCACTGGCGCACCACCACGGCTAAGTCATCCAAGAATGTGTGTTTGGCAGTGTTTGCCTTTACCCAAAGACATGCTCTGTCAGAATCCTTTCTAAAAGCTTGTCAAGTGAAATTTCAGCAGCTTCTGTGGCAATTTCTGTTAATTTAGGTGGGTTAAGATTTTGTGTGATAACAGGTTTTTGATGTGATATACATTAATCGGAGATAAGACAATTATCTGAAGTTTGGAAAGGGGACCTGCTTGAGCCATGTCATTTCCGTTCCCATGCTATGAACCTGCACAATCCAACTTCTGCTTTTTGTTACCACCCAAGTTCTTGCCTCTCCCCAGTGCATAAGCGTTCCATACCCCTACCTTTTACATCCTTAGTGAAGGCAGGGCCCTGCTAACGTATATATTCATTTAATGGGTGCATGAAGGTTTTAGACACGTTGGTTTTTACCAGGACGTTGTTCTCTTATATGAGGACGTTTCTGTGATGGTGATTTTTACAGCTTTTCTGTTGGTATAAACAGACATATGTGGAACACAATTCAAGCTGATTTTGCTCGTCATAAAAATGTGTTGGAGTAGAGGAAAATGAGATCATATTAGAAACCAGTATTCCCATTTCAACCTTTAACCATAATGGAATAAAATTATAGCCAGGGAGGGAAAAAACAGGAGTAAATCACTGAAAATTGTGTATATTTTGCTAACAGGTTATAATTGCCCAGTGAGCTGGCTTGAGATCATATTTATCACTGACCAGCGTCAGATCGGTTTAAAGGGGAGCCAGAGGAGCAAAGCCATTTTAGCATTAGACCAGCCAACGAGCCCAGTCTCCTCTCACTGTGTACACTGAAATCTCGATGCCAACACTCACTTACTCAACTCATATGTACAGGCACACACACACGCACACACACATCTAGCCCCTTCTACAACAAATATCATGTAACTCCCTCAGTGTTTATTCTCTCGTACCTTTGCACGCTCCCTCTTTAAAATGTTCCATGGCCATGTCTCTAATGTTACACTAAGTCACATAGATCTCTGTGGGAATAATATGTTACATCTATCCATGATTTCTGAACTAAATAGCTTGGCTGCACTGGCCAACTCAGACGACCTAATCTCAGTGTTGACGCATGGCAATTAAAACCTATTGCAAGTCACATACTACACCTGATCGCACATCCAAACACACCAAAAAGTCAATCCCAGATGTCCCTTGTGCCAGAATTCTCTCTAGAGATTATTCTGGTAGAAATGATTCCAAAATATCATCAGGAGAATATTTACAAAGCTACTTTAGTGTATATTAATGCCTATTCTTAAAATATAGCTGCCTCTTGTTCATATGTCAGATTGCTTTTTTCTTCTGACACTGTGCACAAATGGTGGCAGGCTGCAGCATTAACCCTGTGGCAGCAAAGTGTAAGCATTTAGACTGGGAAAGTGCAGAAGAGTGGCAAGTTACAGAGCCAGGGAGTCCCTTAGGTGTCAACAGAGCCTTCACAAGGCCCTGGGGTGTTTGGGTTGGATGGAGGGTCTGAGAGGGCCACGCTGAGGTCATGATCCTTTCTGGAGTGGTGACAAGGTTAAGTTGATAGGGAGATTGTTTGTGGATAATGAGGAATTTAGAGCAGATGTAGAGCCATATCAATAGCTGTTTCACACTCCAGCTATGAGTCTGTGTCAGTCTATGTGAAATGACATGCCTAGTTGCTAGATATCCCCCCTTTAGTGTAGTTGTAAATAGTTTGGTAGATCTCCTCTCAGTCTAATCAATCATGACCTAAATCTTTTGCCTTGTGAACAAGAACGTTGGGCCTCATTTACTTAAGATGACATTTCTTCTTAAAATCCACTGATGCAGTTTTCATGAAGATTCACTGTCTTTAGATTTTCATTTGGACATTGTTGACTTTCTCACCTTCTCTTTATAATTTCTGTGTGACATTGCTGTGTGTGCACATGGCCCTTGCAGTCTCACACCCTTTCATGGGGACGGTTGAGGAGTTTACCTATGTTTAATCGGAACAACTGGCATGAGCTTTCGGTTCACGAGGACGATGTGAACAATTCTGTGGTTTAAAAACATTGTTATTGTCATAGACTTTTCATAGAGCATTTCTCAAGAACAAATTTAAGAAAACATTTAGGAAGGTATTGGTGCAGTAAATATGTTCCAATGTCTCTAACAGGCTGGCTTTATAAATGCACTACATCAAGATGACTGGATGATGTCTGTGTTCTTGGGACGCTCTTGTACTGTCTCCAGACACAGTCCACCCTGCACTAAGAAATTGGTTATGAAATTCCACGATAGTAGAGGGCAGCCTCATAAAGGAGAGTGTCTGAGGGTGTCTGATGGATAGGGCTATGATTTATCTGCCCGCAGTGTGAGCTACACTACAGCCTAAGGAAACAGATGGATAAGAGCTATTTAGTCACTGTTGTGATGGAGTGTGCTTTTTTTTCTGCTGGCATGGTCAGTACTGTAATGTATATATTTTATGTTGACTTAAAATTGTGACACACTATATCATGTCATAATAGAGTCTGCCAAAGTCACTGCATAAGATGAACAGGCCTTTTGCAGAGTCAGTTGCAGTGTGACATGCTGAGCAGATGATAATTTATGGCGGAGCAGTAGCTCTCTGCTTTTGGCTGTGTCTGCAGCCATCTCGGCCTTCTTTGGCTGCAGCACCAAGGTGCTCTGTTCCCCAGCCCTTCCTCTCCCTCATTTGAACCCAGTCTGCATAAGTCCAGAGTCATGCTCTGGGACGTAACGAGCCCGTGGCCAGACACTATCCATCCCTAATGGACCAGCCAAGCCAGATCCGCTCCCAGTGTTGCACCAGGCACACTGGTATGTATTCATAGCATTCAATACTGAGGTCATGTAAAGGAGGTTTAAATTGTTGTTTGGACTCAGTAATGCAGGTGAGCTGTGGCTGGTTGCAGAGCTGGGTGTTCCAGCTCCGCTGCAGTGTTTCAGCGTGGCGCTGAATAATTTAATAGTAAATTTAACTTATAGATTCCAGTGGAGACTGGTTGATTTGGTATTCTGTTTATGTGCAAAGAGGGGAGTTTCTTTGAAAGTAAACCAATCAGCCAAATAACTAATCACAGTAGACTCTCCGTGTCCATGTCATCACCTGAAAAAAATTCCCACAAATCAGTCTTTGCATCTAAAAAAATTCTAATAGATGTTATTAGATCAAGTATGCCATACTAAACAAGAGAAGCAAAACAACCAGATTTTGAAGTCGAGAGCCTTGTCTCATGCCTGCTCAAACCTTTTGTGGGGGCTTGTGGGTTTTGGTGGGCTCTGCCTCTGTTTTTTTGGAAACTATTAGCCGGAATTAGGGGGACATTGACAGATGGGTTTCTTAGGGAGAGCGGTGTGATCCAGCAGATGTGTATGTATGTGTGTGTCAGAGGAAGAGGCCAGCCAGGGACACATGCTCAGAACAGGGCTCAGACTAAGCTCTCAGATCTGTACAGAGCTATGGAAACTCTGAAGACCACAGAGGCACAAACTTGCTCTCTCTCTCTTTTTTCTTCCTTTTACTCTCTCTTCATTTCCTTCACTGACAAGTGGCAGATGGTTATTTGATGCTGATTAGAATTTCAAAATAGGCCTCATTCCTTTCACAGCATTTTCCCTCTCCACATCTCTTAGTAAGGGCAAGCAGAGGTCAGACCCATGTTCCAGTCATAGAGCAAATACTTCAAGGCACTTTTTAGGCCTGGTGACTATGAACACACAGTACAAATAAAATCGCAGTGCAGATTGTGAAGTTCCACGATTTTAATGACATAAAGAACACCACATTTTTAGTTTCTCAATCACAGCATGGAGAACAGTAGGGATTTTCTTTTGTTCTTGCAACAAAATGTTGTTTTGGTTTGGGTATAACTAAGTTAAGCCCACTAGAATGCTTTCAGTTTCAACAATAACCTCTGAAGGTCCAGCTTCGCAGCACACAGCAGCCTTAAACTGTACTCAGCTGAAATGTTCCTGTTTGTCCTTAAAGGGCGTCAAGGTATGAAGCTCATTGAGATGCCAAATATATACATTAGATGGGTAAAGATGAAAACTGTGTATATATTTGTATGTCACTGGCTGTGTAA